TCTTCTGGTATGGTGGATCATGAGTTAACTTTGTATTTAAGGCTTTAGTTTTTATTTTGAGATAGGATTAAGTTGTTCCTGCTGGCTTCAATTTGCAAACTTCGTCCTCGGCGCTGCCTACGGAGGTGACAGCCATCTCTGTCTTGGCACCACGGTGGCCCTCAGACCCCTCATGAAGCCCAAGATCATCAAAAAGAAAACCAAGAAGTTCATCTGGCACCAGTCAGATAGATATGTTAAAACTAAGTGCAACTGGCAGAAACCCAGAGGCATCGACAACAGGGTGCAGAGGAGGTTCAAGGGCCAGATCTTGATGCCCAACATAGGTTGTGGAAGTAACAAAAACACAAAGCACATGCTTCCCAAGGGGCTTCCGGAAGTTCCTGGTGCACAATGTTAAGGAACTGGAGGTGCTGCTGATGTGCAACAAGTCTTACTGTGCAGAGATTGCTCCCAACATCTCCTCTAAGAACTGCAAGGCCATTGCGGAAAGAGCAGCCCAGCTAGCCATCCGAGTCACCAATCCCAATGTCAGGCTGAAAAAAGCCCTCAAGCTCAAGCTTCTGGGGTTCCAACCCAGACAGTCACTGCAAACCAGAAATGCCCTAAAGGCATTTCGAGCCTCCAATGTCAGGCTGAGTATTTAAGAAAACAAGTAGACAGCCTATGTGCATGTTTATTTGTGCTTCAATAAAATCACAAAAAAATGCAAAAAAAAAAAATTGCAAACTTCTTACCTCAGTCTTCCAGAGCACTAGGACTACACAGTATACACAAGGTCAGGCTTATGGTTCACTTTTGGAGGAGCCTCTAGAATTTTCCACAGTGGGGCATCATTTTACGTTTCTACCTGCAAACCACGAGCATGCCTATCTTTCTACATCCTCACCCACATTTGTTTTTCATTAAAAACTATTTCAGCTATCCTAGTTGATCAGAAACTTCCCAGACTGCTGTGACAGTAGGAGTAACCTGTGCTAATCCTGGGGTCTGGGAAGGGCTGTCTGGGAGGACAGCACAGGAAAGCCTCACAGGCCGCTGGATACCTGAGGACCCCAGTACCTTCCCAGCCTTCTGGAGACGTCTATTTACAGGTTCTGGCTGTCTTAAGGGACCTGGAGGAGAAGGCTGTGGTTTTGTAGTTGGTCGCAAGTGTTGATAGGGGACCCAGGATTCTAGGCAGCTGTGCCCAAGATCCACAGCAAGTCCTGGGGGGCAGAGAAACAAAGCCAGGGTCATGCCTGATCCTCTCCCACATGGGCAGTTGCCTCCATTTCCAGATGGACAGATGGTAGACTGCTAAGGAAGGTGTGCGCGGCTTCATCTCCCTCTTTTGTTTCACACGAGGCCAAGGCCGAGGGCAGTGGGAGCACCAGCAGTGCTTGTCAAGGCTCACAGAGACGGACGACAAAATGGAAACTGTGTGGGACTGTGGAAGGAAGTGGGAAGCCAGCCAGGCGCTGCCTCAGCCACGGTTGCAGCCTGCAGGTGCCTTTCTGTACCTGGTGAATCGGATTCCCTGATCAGGATGCTGTACCCTGGCCCAGGAACCCTGACACTTGGGCCACCCAAATAGGAGAGCCACCAAAGGAGAGGAAATGAG